TCGCCAGTTGGTGCTTCACCGTCCCCTCTTGGTTTCCCTTAACCCTTTCTATGCTTTGTCAAGAGTGACTTTGTTAGATTTTCTCCATTATCCTATATAAGGATAATATTTAATTGTTGCTCAGATCCTGATTAATAGATTCCCTTCACCAACTACAATAATAAATTCCATTGAAGTAGATCTTTATTTTATTCACCCCCACCTTGTTACTCTGGCGTGTAGGATGATGTGTGTCATATAGCAGATTTCCAATAAATATGTTGAATGAATGTATGTATTGACCACTTTCCATTAGTGATCTGTATGTTAGCTCTATTATGACTAATTTACATAGTCCCACCAGCCTTTCTGTGCTTAACTATTTTTAATTCATTAAAGAATGACAAATAATCATAAATATTGGGGGGAAAGCAGGCAAATTTTTCATTATGAGCATGAAATCCAAGATAACTAGTAGAAAATCTAGTGAAACAATAATAGAGTTCTGCAAGAAATAATGTTAAAGAATAAAAATAAACAGCTTTCCTATATGTAAATAAGTATTCTTGTTAGAAACTATTTGAAAATTTCCATTTGTAATCATACAGAAAATATATGAACACCCATATTAACATTTATAAGAAAAGTTACTCATGTTAAGAGATTTAGGGAAGATAAAAAATTATATTAATCTTAGATTGGAAGGTGTCATTGCAATTATGGAAATATCATATCCAACAAATTAAGTCATAAATGTAGTTTGTTGCTAATTAAAATCTCAACATAAATTTTTTTAGAGGTTTGACCCTAAAAAATTTTGTTAAAGTTTAGATGAATAGCATGTGAGAACAGTTAGGAAAATTCTGAAAAGTACTAGTCATGAGAGGGGATTAGCTTTACTTTATATTAAAAGTCATAATAAAGCTACAATAATTCACACAGTGTGATATATGGTACAATGATAGACCAGGGAATAGAACATAAAATCCATAGAAAGATCTGAGTAAATAACGAGTTACAAGTAAAAAAATACAAAAAAAACAAATGTAAAAAGTAATACATTTCACATTTATATGGAAATGTTGAATTATTAAATTATGTCACACTTTGGATCATAATCAATTCAGGGGATAAATCTGCATCTTTCTTTCAACTTTCATCTCAAAGATTTAGATACAAAAATATATGAAATACTTGAAAAGAAAATTAAGTTGGGACAACCTTTCAAAACCTGACACAAGTCCCAAAGGCCAAAAAATAAGGCTGATAAATCTGACTATGTAAAACTTAATATTACTTTATGGGCAAAAACAAGGGTTTGATGGGGCCTCTGGCTGCTGAGCATCAGGGTGTGGGTGGAGGATGAGCATTTTCTGAGAAAGGCACTGAGGTTACATATATGTGTGTGTGTGTGTGTGTGTGTGTGTGTGTAAAACATTTCCATGAAGAACTTTGAAATTTTCTTTGCTTTGTGTCATTTTTTATGCATTAATTACTTTTGAAAAGTGTGCCTGCACTTCCCCTACTTTTTTCTTTCCTTTGGTTAAAAGATTTTTTACTTTTACTTTTACTGGATTTCCATTTTCTAGTAACATATAAATGTCACAACCTTAATCCTAAGAGATATTTTTATGTCCCTTGACTTCTCTTAGCCACTTAGAGTTCAACAGGCACACAGGTGAAGAAGATCCCATTTAAAATTTTGTTTTCTACTTTGCACTACTTTCCACACAGAAAATTAGAATACAGCAAAATAAGCAGCCATTCTTCGATTTTAAGTTTTCCTTGCCATATATGAATTTTCTTTTAAAAGGTAAAGCCAATTTACAAGTGTATAATTTCAATCTTAAATACTTAATTATTTGTGCCGTTAAATAAATTACTGTATTTCCTGTGTGATTCCCATATTAGTTTCACACCAAACAAGAGTAATCGTGTGTTCCTTAATATTCCTAATTCCCAGCCCATATTTAAATTTCCCAAATTATCTCCATAGTCTGTGGTAGCTGCTGTCTTTTCAGTCGGGATCTGATCGAGGGGCAAGCATAGCATTGCATTGTAAAGGTCACATTAAAACTAGAACATCTGGGGGCACTAAAAGAACGTGGGCAGAAAGAAGGTCACCGACAATATTTTACCAAATGTCTCAAAAAGCGGAAAATACCGCGAAGTCAAGAGGCGAGCGCAGAGGTCAATGGGAAATGTAGTCGACTCCAGAGGGATCACCGCGCAGCGCTCTGGAAACAGGTCCTCTGGCTTTCTTCTGCGCATGTGCTTTCCCAGCCCCGCCTCTTCCTCTCTGATCTCCGTCCGAGGAGGAGGTGCACACGTGGGGCGAGAGCGCTGAGTGGCGGGGCTCAGCGCGTGTGGGGAGCCAGCGTGTAGGACTGGGCTTGTGCGGGGGCGCTGAGTAACACCTGGGAGCAGCTAGGGCAGGGGGGGACTTCCCGAGCCCGGGACGCGCGCCAGGCCCTGCGATCAGCGTGGGCAGGTGGAGCTGAGCCCGGTCAGAAGCAGGTGCTCGGTGCGGGGTAGGCTGTGCCGGGACCGTGAGCCCGACCCTGCCGGCAGCTCAACCTGGGAAAACCCTTCCCGGCAGCGGGAGGGGAAAGCGCGTTCCTAACGTTGACAGCTAACGTGCTGGAAAGCGAGGGAAGCTGGTCTGCGGTGGAGCCCGAGTGGGGGAGCCGCAAAGACCAGGTAAATTTCAAGTCCGCCACCTGTAACCGGGGAAAGAGTCACTCTTCTGGAAATGAGGATAATAATAAGGTCTGCTTCTTGGCGCTTCTCTGAGTTAGGTAAGAGGTCACCTGTGAAGCCTGTAGCTTGGTGCCAGGTCCAAGTAGCAGCACACGCTTTGTCCCTGTGGGAAATCTAAGTCTCAGATTAGTGAGATATTCGAGTCTGAGAGGGCCGGCAGGGTGTCCACCGTCCTGTCCCGTTTACTTTGCTGAGTTCTCTAACGCAAGGAGTAAAATGATACTCCTAGGACAGTGGATAAAGATGGAGCCTGAGTCTTTTTTCTATGTTAATTTTAATGAAAGAGCAGTGCTTTGTCTTTTCCTATACTCGAATCATTTGTTGTTTTTTCTATTATGTTTTTTAAATTGATTAAAAAAAAAAGTGTAGTAACCTGCAGGTTTATGTCCCCGTAATCACTTCAGGGACTCATGTGGACAGTTTTTGTTGGCTCTGCATGGTCATTCCATGTCTTTTCAAGGGCCCAAACGCCCTATTCCTGTAGGGAGCCTGCGCCCCATCTGGGATGCTAAGACTTTGTGGAACTGAATGTAGGAGCTGTGAGGCATGCCAGATCTCTTGACTCCCTCCTCTTTCTTTCCACCCAGCTGAGTCTTACAATCTCCCAAGAGGTGCAGAAAATGAACACATCTCAGGTGAGCATTTTACTCATTCCTCACTTTGTATTAGGATGGATTTAAGAAGTTTATAAAGAGTCCATACATTCAGAAAAGTAGAAATAGATTTAGATCAAGTTAAGCTTTACTTTTTTACACTGTTTTACACTGTTTACCATTAATCCTGATTTTTAATGTTAGGATGCGAGTAGGCACCCTTTATCAGTATAAGCAGAGTCCTTCCTATGACAGTTTGCTAAGATGTTGTTTTAGTCATAAACATGCAAAAGTTATGTTCTAGTTGGCCCAAATGTGGAACTAGAATTTCAAGGTCTGAGGGTGGGCTTAGATTTTATGTTGACTGTGTCCTGTGAGTTAAGGGAACATATACCCAGTGTTTTGGTCCTTCTGCTTCTGCATATCCAGCTGTCAATTTTTTTTAAATTTTGGATAAATAGTGTATTCATATGGCCCAGGATACATACTGAGAAGCCCTACTCCTGCTAGCATCCCTGTTCCTATCTATATGATGTCCTCTACTATTTTCGTTGGAACCAACAGTTATGCATACCGTATATTCTCGCTTTATAGTTTGTTTTTTCGTAAATATAATATGGACATTTTTCCATATTGATAATTAAAAAACATCTTCATTTTTTATATAGCTGCATAGTATTCCATTATGTAAAATAGTGATTATTTAGCCAGCCTTCTATTGAAAGAGACATTTGGGTGGTTGATAATTTTATATGTTTGTATGGGTGAAACTATAGGCTAAAATGGTCAGAGGTTAAATGCTGCTTCATTTTGTTAAGTACTGTAGAATTGTCCTCCATAGTGGTTGTTATATTTGTTTTGCTGCATGTGAAGTGTTTATTCAAAATTGGTATATTGATAGCAGCAATGTCCACAATAGCCAAAGTACAGAAAGAGCCCCGTTGTCCATCAACGGATGAATGGATAAGGAAGACGTGGTATATAATATCTACAATGGAATATTACTCAGCCATCAGAAAATTGAAATCTTGCCATTTGCAACGACATGGATGGAACTAGAGTATATTAGGCAAAGTGAAATAAGTCAGTCAGAAAAAGACAATTATATGGTTTTACTCATATGTGGAATTTAAGAAACAAATCAAAGGATCATAAGGAAAGGAGGGAAAAATAAAATAAGATGAAACCAGAGAGGGAGACAAACCATAAGAGACTTTTAACTCTAGGAAATAAATTGAGGGTTGCTGGAGGGGACATGGCTGGGGAGATGGGGTAACTGGGGGATGGGCATTAAGGAAGGCATGTGATGGAATGAGCCCTGGGTGTTATATGCAACTGATGAGTCACCAAACTCTACATCTGAAACTAATAATATACTATATGTTAATTGAATTTAAATAAAATTTAATTTAATTTTTAAAAATTGGTATTGAGCACCTATAGTGCCGCCTGCACTATGGTAGTTACTGTGTAAACAGCTGACAAAGATGTGTGCCCTCATGTAGCTTACATTCAGGTGATGGGAAGTCGTAAACTTAAAAGACTTTGTGTTTTGATAATTGATATAGAAGAAATAAGGGAGGGACATGTTGTGAGGACCAGTTTTAATTTTAAATAAGTTGATCAGATAGGTTTCTCTGAGAAAATACTTGAAAAAACATTTGACAGTTGTGAGGAAGGAAGACTTTTGGGTATCTACAGAAGAACACTGGAAGCCAAGCGAGCTGCCAGTGCAAATGCCCTGGGACAGCGTGGACCAGAGGTCTACAACCAGCAAGAACAGCAGTAGGCCAGCGTGGCTGCACCTTGACTGAAGAGGTAAAAGAGTGCAGATCATGTGCGGAATTGAAGGCCATCACACTTTTCACCCACATAACACAGTTGAGACCCATCCATGCTGTTGCATCTTTCCATAGTGTGTCCTGTTTTCCAGTGATTGGATCTATCACAATTTGTTAATCCATTTACCAGTTGATGGACATCTGTGTTGTTCCCACCTTTTGGCTTTGTGAATAAAGCCGCAGTAAGTGTTCATTCTTCAGTCTTTTTTGTATGGACACGAATCTTCATTCCTCTTGAGAAAATGATTAAGAGAGCATGTGGGATACTGGGTTTTGTAATAAGTGCATGTTTAACATCATAAGATGCTGCCATACTGTTTTTCAGAGTGGCCGTGCCATTGAGATTTCTAGATGCTCTGAATCCTTGCCAGCATTTGGTATTGTCAGTTTGGGATGAGGAAGCAGTGTTGGGTTTTTTTGTTTTTGTTTTTTGGGTTTGTTTTTCTGTTTTTTGGTGTTTTGTTGTTGTTGTTGTTTTCAATTTAAGCCACTCTGCTAGGTATGTACAGGTATTTCATTTTGTTTTTAGTTTAATCTGATGTCTGATGATGTTGAACATCATTTCGTTTGTGTATTTGCCATCTGTACCTCCTCCAAGGTGAAATACCAAATCTTTTGTCAGTTTTTTCTCATTGAGTTTTTCTTATTCCCAAATTTTGAGAGTTGTTTAGATATTCTGATACAGGTCCTTTATTGGGAATGTTTTATGGATGTATTCTAATCCATGACTTATCTTTTCATTTGTTTAATGCTGTCTTCCAAGAACATTTTTAATTGATCAATTTAAAATTTATCAAAATACCAGACTTTATGGGTTGTTTTTTCTTTTTTCTTTTTTTTTTTTTTCTGGTCCTATCTAAGGTATCTTTGCCTAATCTGGGTCACAAATATATTCCTGTGTTATCTGTTAAAAGTTTATAGTTACGGATTTTACATTTATGATCATTTTAAGTTTTTTTTTAATTTTTTATCTGATTTATATTTTATCTGATTTTTTTTATTTTTAATTTTTTTTCTAATACAAGGTAGCTGTTCAAGGAAAGTTTTTTTTTTTTCCCTGTCTTATGGAGCTTTATTACTTCCAGTACCATTTGTTAAGAAGGTACTTTATCTCCATTTAATTGCTTCGGCATCTCTGTTGGAAGTCATTTGACTATGTGTCCCTCTCTTTCTGGACTCTGTTCTGTTGTTTTGTGTATCATTTTGCCTTTATCACACTGTCTTGATTATTGTTTTAATTACATGTTTTAATTAATATGTAATTGATTAATTGATTAATTACGTATCTTGAAATGTAATGTGAGTTCTTCAACTTTGTTCTCTTCAGAATTATTTTGGATATTCTAGGTCATATCCTTTTCCTTTTAGAATCATTCTATCTCCTAAAAGTTTCCTGGGATTTTTGCCTGTCATCATATGAGATCTATAGATCAACTTGGAGAGAACTAACAGAACTGACATTGGAACATACTGAGCCTCTCAATCCCTGAACACACTATAGCTTTTCATTTAGTGATAAGGTGGGTTAGGAACTATGAAAGTACATGATCTGTTTTACATTTTAAAAGAATCAGTTGCTCCTGTTTAAGAATTGACTCTAGTGGGGCACTGGTTGAAGCAGTGACAATTTAGGAAGCTATTCAAGTGATTCAAGTAAGAATCCATGGTATTAAGTTAGCACTGAGGAGTAGCTTTGCAAATAGAGTGTGCTACCAAAGGTAGGATCTTTGACAATGGGATAAAAATCTGTTTTGTTTTACATCTCAGTTTAGTTTGATGAACATTTTTTTTTTATGATTTGGGTCCATTTCACTCCCTTTCTTTGAATTGTATATTCTTTATCCTGATTCTATTTTGTATTTTGATCTGTTCCTTATATTTTGAGATTCACCTTTGCCTGTGGTGTGGATTGCAAATTTTTCTCTAATATGTTATATTTTGGCCCTGCTTATAATTTCTATCTTTGCCATAAAGAAATTTAATTATTATTGTCATCAACTTTAGCAGCCTTTTCTTTTATGAATTCTGAATTTTGAGTCCTATTTAGGTATTTTCCACTTTCCCCACCAGTCCTAAGATATGATTGATATGTGATATTGCATTAGTTTAGGATATGCACCAAAATGATTTCATATAGGTATATATTGCGAATTGATTGTCACAGTAAGTTTAGTTAACATCCATCACTTCACATAGTTAGAATTTCTTCCTTGTGATGAAAACTTTTAGAATTCATTCTCTTAGCAACTTTCAAATATACATGCAGTCCTGTTAACTATAGTCGCCATGCTGTACGTTACATGCCCAGAACTTACTTATCTTGTACCTGGAAGTTTGTGCCTTTGACTGCCTTCACACAATTCCCCCAGTTACCACTACCCCCACACCCCGCCTCTGGCAACACCAGTCTATTTTCCGTTTCTATGAGTTTGGCTTTTTTAGATTTTCACATGTAAGTGAGATCGTACAGTGTTTGTCTTTCTTTTTTTTTTTTTTAAATGCTTTATTTATTTATTCATGAGAGTCTCAGAGAGAGAGAGAGGCAGAGGCAGAGGGAGAAGCAGGCTCCCTGCCTAGCAGGGAGCCCGATGCGGGGCTCGATCCCAGGACCCCGGGATCATGACCTGAGCCAAAGGCAGACGCTTAACCATCTGAGCCACCCAGGCGCCCCAGTGTTTGTCTTTCTATATGTGACTTATGTTACTTAGTACAAGGCCCTCAGTGGCCCTCTGTGTTGTTGTGAATGGCAGGATTTGTTTCTTTTTTATGGCTGAATAATTACATACATATATGTTATACATATGATATAAATGAGATATATATATGATGTTTGTATTATGTATATTACATGTATATATTATGTCCCCTTTTTTTTAAAATCCATTCATCCATTGATGGATGCCTACATTATTTACATGTCCTGGTTATTGTAAATAATGCTGCAATGAATAGGGGGTGCAGGTTCCTCCTTGAAATAGTTATTTCACTTCCTTTAGATATATATATATATATCTCCAGCTACTGCTGGGTCATATGGTAGTTCTATTTTTAATTTTTTGAGTAACTTCCATATTGTTTTCCATAGTAGCTGCACCAATTTACTTTCCCACTCACAGTGGACAAGGGTTCCCCTTTCTCCACATCCTCACCAACACTTGTTGTCTCTTGTCTTTTATATGATAGCCATTCTAACAGGTGTGAGATGGTATCTCATTGTGGTTTTGATATGCATTTCCCTGATGATTAGTGGTGTAGAGCATCTTTTCGTATACCTGCAGCCCATTTAGATTTCTTCCTTGGAAAAAGTCTATTCAGTTCCTCTGTCCATTTTTTTTTTATCAGAATGGAGGTTTTTTGCTACTGAGTTGTATGAGTTCTTATATAAAGAGTTTTGGTTATTAACCCCATATGAGTTTTTCATTTGCAAATATTTTTTCCCATTTAAAAGGTTACCTTTTCATTCTGGTGATTTTTTTTTTTTTTTTTTTTTGCAGTACAGAAGCTTTTTAGTTTGATGTAGGCCCCCTTGTTTATTTGTGCTTTGGTATAAATCCAGAAGTCATCACCATGACCAATGTCAAAAGCTTAACTCTACATTTTATACTAGGAGTTTTATGGCTGCAGGTCTTACATTCAAGTGTTTAATCCACTTTGATTTGATTTTTGTGTATGGTGTAAGAAAGTGGTCCAGTTTAATTTTTTGCCTGTGGCTGTCCAGTTTTCCTAACACTTTAATTGAAGTGACTATCCTTTTACCACTGTATAGTCTTGTCTCTTTTGTCATAAATTAATTGGTCATATTTGTTCATTTATTTTTGGGCTCTCTGTTCTGTTCCATTGGTCAGTGTGCCTGTTTTTATGCCAGTACCATACTGTTTTGATTACTGTAGCTTTGTAATATCATTTGAAATGAGGGAGTGTGATGTCTCCAGCTTTGTTCTTTCACAAGATTGGCTTGCACTACTTGGGATCTTTTGTGGTTCCATACAAATTTTAGGATTCTTTTTAACAATATTAATTTTCCCAGTACATGAGCATGGAATATCTTTCCACTTATTCATGTCCTCTTCAATTACTTTCACCAATGTCTTATAATTTTTATTGTATAAATCTTTTCCCTCCTTGGTTACATTTATTCCTAGATTTTTATTCTTTCTGATGGAATTATAAATGGGATTGTATTAATTTCTCTTTCTTATAGTTCACTGTGGTGTAGAGAAACTATTGATTTTTGAATATTGATTTTTACATACTGCAACTTTACTGAATTTATTAGTTCTGGCAGTTTTAGTGGAGTCTTTAGAGTTTTCTATATCTAACATTATGTCACCTGTAAATAGAAACAGTTTTACTTTTTCCTTTACCATTTGGATTCCTTTTTTTTTTCTTTCTTTTTCTTTTTCTTACCTAATTGCTCTGGCTAGGACTTCCAGTACTATGTTGAATAAAAGCGTCAAGAGGGGACATCCTTGCTTTGTTCCTGATCTCAGAGGCAAAGTTTTCAACTTTCCCTCATTGAGTATGATGTTAGCTATGGGTTTGTCATATACAGCCTTTATTATGTTGGGGTATATTCTCTTTCTACCCACTTTGTTGAGAGTTTTTATCATGAATGGATATTGGATTTCGTCAGGTGCTTTTTCTGCATCTATTGAAATGATCATATGATTTTTATTCATTTTGTTACCCTGGTGTATCACATGGATTGATTTGTGGGTGTTGAGCCATCTTTGCATACCTGAAATAAGTTCCACTTGATCATGGTGTATGATCCTTTTAATGTATTACTGAGCTAGGTTTGCCAATTTTGTGGAGAATTTTGCATCTGTGTTCATCAGGGATATTGGCCTGTAATTTTCTTAGAGTGTTCTTTGGGTCCAGTCTTGGTATCAGGAATACTGGCTTCATAAAATTAGTTTCAAAGTGTTCCCTCCTCGTGTTATT